TACATCAGTCAAACATTCGCCATCATAAAACATTACAGCAATCAAACATTCGCCATCATGTAACATTACATCAGTCAAACATTTGCCATCATAAAACATTACATCAATCAAACATTCGCCATCATAAAACATTACAGCAATCAACCATTCGCCATCATACAACATTACATCACTCAAACATTCGCCATCATATAAACTTACAGCAACCAAACATTCGCCATCATAAAACATTACAGCAATCAGACATTCGCCATCATATAAAATAACATAAATCAGACATTCGCCATCATACAACATTACATCAATCAGACATTCGCCATCATATAACATTACAGGAATCAAACATTCGCCATCATACAACATTACATCAATCAGACATTTGTCCATCAAATAACATTAAATCAATCAAACATTCACCATCATATAACACTACATCAGTCAAACATTCGCCATCATGTAACATTACATCAGTCAAACATTCGCCATCATATAACATTACAGCAATCAAACATTCGCCATCATATAACATTACAGCAATCAAACATTCGCCATCATGTAACATTACATCAGTCAAACATTTGCCATCATAAAACATTACATCAGTCAAACATTCGCCATCATAAAACATTACATCAATCAAACATTCGCCATCAAATAACATTACAGCAATCAAACATTCGCCATCATAAAACATTACAGCAATCAAACGTTTGCCATCATGTAACATTACATCAATCAAACATTCGCCATCATAAAACATTACAGCAATCAAACATTCGCCATCATATAACATTACAGCAATCAAACATTCGCCATCATGTAACATTACATCAATCAGACATTCGCCATCATGTAACATTACAGCAATTAAACATTCGCCATCATATAACATTACAGCAATCAAACATTCGCCATCATGTAACATTACATCAATCAAACATTCGCCATAATATTACATAACAACAACCATACATTCGCCATCTTGTAACATTACATGAATCAAACATTTGTCCATGTGTTACATTCGTCCAGTCTTTCGTCGTTGTGTAACACTGGACCAGAGAGAGATTGGTCACATTCAAAATTATGTGAATTTGTATCAATCTTTAGTTACAACGTAATTTTAGGTATTCAACACAGGCCAACATATCATGCAATTTTAGACCAATGAGAAATTCGCCATCATCTAAAACTAGACCAATCAGACATTAACAATCATGCAATAATGGACCAGTCAGATATTCGTTATCGCGAAATATTTCAGAATTACACTAATCAGACTCTTATTTACGAACCAATACTTCATGGGACCTGACAGTCGTCCATATAGAAAACAAGTAATTAGACAATTTATATTTACACTCCAAAAATGTCGCTTCTGTTTTAACTTCGTGTCACGTAGAAGCATCAATTGACCTTTGCAGACATCACACCGACACGTCGACTTCCTGAAGGTGCTTCGTCTCGCATTCCCTGGCCTGCTCCTGTGGCGGCAGGGTCGACAGGTGCGACTTTACCTACACCACGGCTCTACTTCACGGAAATATGGAGATAGTTGGGCAGACGATCATCAAAGCGATCCCCACACAGACATTCGTTGTAAACAAAGTGTCTGTGTGATTATGGGGTCTCCCCTACCCCCGGCTCCGGTCTGCTGCTGTGGCGCGCCTCTCTGTCGCTTCGCAGTGTTTTGAATAATAACCAAAACAATAGTCGGGTTACCGCCCGTACGTAAGTATGTACATCTCTACAATAATCATAACACCCTGCTGCTGGGGCTACAGACTTTTCAAAATAAATGACGTCAACGTGTGCACTAGCGTGGAGTGACGTTCCTGGCACGATCGCCAAAGTTACACACTGTCGGGACACGTCTGACTAAGAGTACATCAAAAACATAGGAAAAGAAAACATTTAATCTTTGAATGAGTCGTTTTTGTATTTTTGAACTGACTTAAATTTCTTTCAAATCGACTAAGATTTCGATTCATGTCGGAATAAATAGTTTTATGCGTATTTCTGTTATTGCATTATCTGCAAAGTAAAACAAATCTGATAAAGTTAAAAGTCGGTTGAGGAATATCCGATTCAGAATCAAGATGCGATACTACTAGTCATAAATTCACTTTAGACCAGATTTACCGATGCAGTGAATGGCTTGTATAAGATACAGATAAATAAACATTGCACAAAACAAAATCTTCAATGTGTTTAACTACACTGGATACAGCAGACGAACGCAGTAATCGTGACGGGAAGGGATTAGTTGCCTACTGTTAGACGAGGCTACTCCTTTATTTACGGGCCAAAACTGTTCTGTTTAGTTTATAATCACCATTTTTATCATTATCACTTAGTTTTAGAGATTTACAAACTACCCTAGAATTTTTGACAAACGAATAAATATGATTAGATTTTACATCATTTATAGTTAATCTCTTCAGAATTGCCTATTTTCAAACTCAAAAAGAAATCCAGAAAGTATATATGTCTTAACGCGTGTCCTCGAATTGATATTCAGTGAAAACCTGCGGCTAATTCATATCAAGTCCGGACTACACAGTATGGTTTGTCGATTGCGAGAACGCTACAAAACACGCAGTGCTAGGTACTGTTTGTGGGAAACGTAACAATATACAGTATATCAGTAGCGACTTGTGGGAACCGCTACACGTACAAACGTTGCGGAGTACCATTTGTCGGGAATCACCTCAACGTCTAGTCAGTCACCTGACAATCTCTTCACCGTAACGTCCGTTAGCTGATAATCATCTCATCAAAACGGCGGTAACCTGATGATCATCTCACTATAACGTCCGTCACCTGATAATCACCTCGACATTACGTCCGTCACCTGATAATCAACTCAACATAACGTCCGTCACGTGATAATCACCTCACCATTAAGTCCGTCACCTGATAATCAACTCAACATAACGTCCGTCACATGATAATCACCTCACCATTACGTCCATCACCTTAGAATCACCTCAACCATAACGTCCGTCACCTGATAAGCACCTCACCTTATCGTTCGTCGCGTGATAATCACCTCACCATTACGTCCGTCACGTGATAATCACCTCACCATAACGTCCGTCACCTGATAATCACCTCACCTTAATGTCCGTCACCTGATAAGCACCTCACCTTAACGTCCGTGACCTTATAAGCACCTCACCTTATCGTTCGTCACGTGATAATCACCTCACCATAACGTCCGTCACCTTATAATCACCTCACCGTAACGTCCGTCACCTGATGATCACCTCACCTCAACGTCCGTCACCTAATAATCAACTCACCGTAACGTCCGTCACATATTAATCACTTCACATTAACGTCCGTCACCTGATGATCACCCCACCTTAAAGTCCGTCACCTGATAATCACCTCACCTTAACGTCCGTCACCTTATAAGCACCTCACCTTAACGTCCGTCACATAATAATCACCTCACATTAACGTCCGTCACCTGATGATCACCTCACCTTAACGTCCGTCACCTGATAAGCACCTCACCGTAACGTCCGTCACCTGATAAGCATCTCACCTTAACGTTCGTCACCTGATAAACACCTCACCTTAACGTCCGTCACTTTATAAGCACCTCACCGTAACGTCTGTCACCTGATAAGCATCTCACCTTTACGTCCGTCACCTGACAATCACCTCACCATAACGTCCGTCACCTGATAATCACCTCACCATACCGTCCGTCACCTGATAATCACCCATAATGTCCGTCACCTGATAATCAACTCACCATAACGTCCGTCACCTGATAATCACCTCACCTTAACGTCCGTCACCTGATGATCACCTTACCATAACGTCCGTCACCTGATAATCTCCTCACCATAACGTCCGTCACCTGATAATCACTTCACCTTAACGACCGTCACGTGATAATCACCTCACGATAACGTCCGTTACCCGATACTCATCTCACCATAACGTCCGTCACCTGATAATCACCTCACTTTAACGTCCGTCACATGATAAAAACCTCACCTTAACGTCCGTCACCTGATAATCACCTCACCTTAACGTCCGTCACCTGATTATCACCTCACCTTTACGTCCGTCACCTGATAATCACCTCACCATAACGTCCGTCACGTGATATTATTTTACCGTCCAGCACGTTGGTTCCATTTGACATCTCAGTTTTACTTTCCTACGTTGGGTCGGTTTTACATAATTTCCGTTTTGTTGTCCGACACAATGTCCCTTCTGCATCTGCTGTCTTAAAAAACATATCTGTCTCACTTTCTGACATATTTTCATTCTACCGCCTGACGTAATGCCCGCCCTACTTTTTCATATAGGCCTATTGTCCGTCCTACCATTATATATAAATCCCGTTCGGCCCTCGTGCTGATATTGGAGTATCGGGTTGATACTGGGTGTGATATGGAAAAGGGCATGTTTTATTCTGTTTATTACATACTTACTAATAGAATACGGACATATCTACTATCTTATGATTTCTTTTTCTTTTGAAATATTGTAAAACGAAATATTTCCAAAAAGGGGTGTGATACGGGTTTTGCGCGCTGGTACGGAGAGGGCTGATACAGGTTTTGGAGTGTGATACGGCGGGGGCTGATACGGGTTTTCGGGTGTGATACGGCGAGAGCTGATATGGGTTAGAGCAATTGTGTCGTATCGCATTTACACAAAAAAAAAAAGTATTTATTAGTAAGTATGTAATAAAAGGTCCTTCTACCACTGACGTTACGTGTCCATTATAGTATCTGTGATATGCCTTACTCTTGCGACATGATTTCCGTCCTGGCATAATGTACATATTGTATTTTTGTGATATATGAAGAAAAATGTATTTTCTACTTTTTGTGATATATTTATGTCCGTCCTACTGTCTGTAATACGATGTCTGTACTTCTTGCCGTAGTTTATACATCATCACTGCCATGCACACGTCTTTAATCCAGGAGTCAAACGAAACCGGTGTCACTTTTGTAAAATCTGTTTTATTTGACATACATGTACAAAATAAATAACTTTTAATAGGCAAAACAGTTCTCTGACATTTAAAATAATTTGAGTGTCAACAGAATATAGCGTTTGTGTTGTCGCCATAACGGAAATTTAATGGTGATTTAGTTCCTATTTCTCATATAAATAACGGCTCTGCCCTATATATCCGTCCGGTGTCTCGGCTGACACCCGACCAAACCTCGGTACCCAGGTACCCCGCAGGAAGTACGTCACCAACGCTTTAAGGACACTTGAGTCAGAAGTCTACACGTAACGCGAACAATATTGCACTTGAGAAAAGTATTTTGATCATGTATCTCGGAAACAAATGTTTCCGTACCCGTTACTGTCACCACTTCCGGCGGAACTGACGGTCACAATGTTCCGGAAGCACCACAGAATCCTCCGAGATAGGTGTCTCAAACTTACGAGACTAGCAGTCTGCTGTTAGATCCGGATTGATCTGTCACACGCGTGCATGACCACACTGTCACACGTTCATGTCAATCTTTTGGGCCATACAACGACACCACACTGTCACACGTTCATGTCCACCTTTTGGGCCATACAACGACACTTTTTGATTTTGAGGATGCGTTTTCGCTTGAGTCTGGAGTGTTTGCCGGGACACATGAGAGTGACCCTGATCGTTGAGAAGGCTCTGGGCTTACAGAACCCACATGACACGAAGGCTGCCTCCTTGAGGTCACGGCGGTCAGACTTAGGAATGAAGAACGAGTTACACTGGCCGTAACAGAAGTTATTGATTATAGTCCGACTAAGGCACCCAGGCTCCCGAACAACCTGTGTAAAATGCTGAGTTTTGCACCATTCTTTCTTTAAATGTTGTCTCTTTGTGATCACAAAGGAATTCTTTTTTCCTCTTGTTGGACGAATAATGTCATTCACTTTTGCGCCAAGTTCCTTCCGTGAAGCTTTGGCGGGATTTGGTATCGTGCCGAAAGGCGGGATTGCTTGTGTTCGCGTTTTGGCCTTCATCGTCCCACGGCGTCTGTCTGCTGTCCGTCGCCCCGTGTCTATGGACGTCCGATGTCTGATACGTGTCTGTTTCATGGCTTCTATGTCAAGTAGAAACAGCCATACGATACCGACAATGATCGTTGTTTTCAGCTGAACGTAACACAACCTCATTCTGAAACGAAAAAGATAACGACAATGTTTTAAGATTTAAAAAAAAAAGCATTTACATAAAATCAGTAATTTAGGCATCATACAAATTTATTGTACAAAGAGACAGGTAGAGAATCCTCTCACCGTTACTGGGGTGTCAAAACACTCACTATAACCGATAATCTAAGTGTGCTCTCGCTCTCTCTGCGTGTAAGTCTGATGAGTGGGGTTTAGCTCCAAGTGTTCTTAAAGCGAACACTGTACTCGTCCAAGAGCCGCGCACAAGCGTCCACAAGCTTACAATCAACAGTTGGTGTTGCGATTCTGTCTAATCTAACTATCGTCAATATTACTCCAGTCTCGTTTTTAATGGGTCACTAAGTACACAATATATATGTTATTTACCCTGATCAGTAACAAGTCTTTTTTTCTTTTTGTATTGTATGTTGTATTTTCTTTTAAAAACATGAAAGCAACATGAAAACCATGTTTTGGAAAATAGTTAAACACAAAGGGGAAAAAAAGATAGTCGTATAATCCAAAAGTAACGGAAACAAAAACAATATTTATCAAAAAGTTGCGCAAATAATATGAATTCAAACAGATACGGGAAGAAATATATTTAAACATCAAACACATAAAGAAATAAAATGGTATTCAAACATCATCATTTACGGAAACAACAGTATTAATTAAAAAGGAAATAAGGAAACAACAGGTATTTAAACAAACAGATAAATAAACAAAAAGGTATTTGAACATTCATTACCGAAACAAAAGATATTAAAATATGAAACTGATTCGGAAACACCAGGTAGACAAACAAATACGGAAGAAAAAAACTTCAGAAGAGAAAAAAAGAAAAGAAAATAAAGTCTTACCTTTACTGCTAAGATAGTGTTATCCTGTGTTGATGTCCATACTTGAATAGTATTGGATAAAGTTAAAGCAAAGGTATTACAGTCTGGTAGCGAGCACCGGCCGTTACCGCCTGCATTGTCAAAGGAACAACTCCAACTGTCAATGTACATTGCTTCGTAATAAATGTATTTGTTGGGGAGAAGATAGAGCGTAAGTATCTGATAGTTTTTGACCGAGCCCTTTGGCGCCAAATGTAGAATTAGAATGGTGGAGGGCAGGCAGTGATCTGGCTGTCGGCCAACACGGGAGAAGCAGTGCTATCCCACCAGTCACGGATTTTGCCGCGATAACACCACAACACTGGTGTAAATGGGAAAAAACAGAGTCTTTAATTTGTAATTGATTTATTTGGCAAAGTGATGTTAGGAAAGAAAAAAAACTGTGAAATTCGTCTAAGCGCCACGATGGTGTAAGTTGTCTCGGAGTTGGCGCGCTCCCTCTCATCCATTCCACGGCTTCTCCGTCCAGCCCCCATAAATCAACTCCAGACTGGGACCGCCATGTAACGGTCGCCCCGGCTAATAAGTTTATCGGTAAGGTCGAATTAAATGGAGGTTTAAATAAATATGTGATCTGGGTGATCGATAGAGACACGGCCCCTAGACCTGCGGTCTCTGGCCAGTCTCGGAGTCGTATGATAGAGATTCCACTGATCGTGGCACACGTACATAACACACTATCGATAGTCCAAACAACGCATACTTAGTATACACCATATCACACCTGTTAAACTGATAGAGACATTGACCAAATTGTATTTACAGCAAGTACACGTTATACATTCAAAGCAATAACACTGAACGAGACTTTGTGTCATGATCAGTTACGTCTGGTTAAGTATACTAAACGTAGGACACGTTTGGCCAGTTAACGCGTTTATAAATATTGTGTCAGTTACATCGTTCGACAAACTATGTCAGTTACATTGTTGGACACACTGTGTCAGTTACATTGTT